ACTCGAATGTTTTCCATGTAACCGTTACCTTAACAACTGTTTCCATGGCAACAGTTACCTTGGCCACCTTTTCCATAGCAATCATTACCATAGCAATTTACAAATAGTGTAATTATAAATTATTTATCATATACAAATAACCTTTGATATTGATAGTCCAGTGGTTCAGAGCTCTCGATTCGCAGTTTAAAAGCAGAGGTTCGATCCCAGGAGATGAGATTTTTTAAAATTAACAAATATTTCGATGATTCGAATTTTTAAATGACAGAAATTACAATTCACTGAAATGGCCGAACAAATAATCGACAGAAAGAATACGGCACAATTTTCAAAAATTGACCAATCACGATTTTCCTGATAGTTTCTAATTGGTCAATTTTAAAAACTCGTGCCAAAATCTTTCTGTCGATTGTTTGCTTGGACATTTTTGTATCTAAGATAAAAAAAAAAGTTTTTTTTAATTTCATTAATAAAATAATTCTTCTAATAATAATCTGGGATCACAATGCCATTTATTTATTTTTACATTAAAGCAGGATTATATCTAGCTGTAGAAAATTGTATCGATAATTTTTTCAATGGTAACTGACCAGTTGGAATAGAAGTTTATGCCTAGATATAACACAAGTGAAGGATACATTTTTTTTTCTTTTTTTAGAAACAAAAATAAAAGCACGTGTAACAATTTTTATGAGAATGTAATGTAAAAGAAATATGCTCTTTTTTATATATCATTATTTTTATAAATAATTTTTTTATAATATAGATTATTTTTATAATATATTATCTTTTAAAATTTTTTATTCAATGCTAAAATAATAAAGTTGAACCCCCTTTTTCCCGTTAAAGTTTTACATTTATTCTCATATGATATATTTATGTAACAGCTTCCAATAATTTTTTTTTCACATATACAAAAAATAAAAAAGAAAAAATGAAGATAGAATAAAATTAATTTAATTTACAAATAGATATAAAATTTGAGCCACTTTTATTTATTTTGTACACCTATAAGTTTTCATGTAATCGCAACATTTGTCAATTCTATGTGATCATTTACCAAATACGTGATATCTAAAATACTTATTTCTGAAATTTAAACGTTACTTATGGTCCGATATGCATCTTTTATGTATAGAAAGCGATTCACGATAAGGTACTTTTTCATTTCTAAAAATAATTGAAATCTCTCAAATGTTTTCTGTTATTGATACTATTTAAAATGAAATTCAATTTCTTTGAGTAGTTAAAACTTTTAATAAATATATTCAATGTGAAAAATAATAAGAATATTTAATGTAAGTTGAAATATGTAATAATAGAATTCTATTTAAATTGAAACATTTGTTTGCATTGTTGTTCATTAGGAAAATTCAGTCATACAGTTGAAAACTCGGGTCGTTAGGAAAATCTGCAACTGAAGCTTTCTCTCTAATATAATGACATTCTAGAATTATATATATGAATTTTTAGTTAACTTTATACCCGCACATAGTCTTTAATTATAATTTTAAAAAGCTTTCTAATATAGAATTTTTTTTTCTTGTTACAGTTAATTAGATTTAATTCTAATTAAATATTAATTAAATAAGAAAAAGTTACTCGAAAAAAAAAAATTAAATCCCAGTACTCGTTAAATTAAAAGGCACATTCATTATTTAAAAATACTATTAAAATTCTTAATTGCAATTATATTGTAATATTGAAAAACTTATTTTAAAATCTAAAAATAACTTTTTTATTTTAAATATAAAGAAATATTATAAAAATTTATTAAATAAAAAGTATTTTTTATTCCCCTAATTTTATGTAATAGTCGTAGTTTCTGTATGAAAAATTGTGTCTAACATATTGCTTCAGTGATTCATTTATCTTAAGGAGAAAATCGATCACCAGCTTTCCTTATAATCTACCTTCATGGGTAACATTTTTCCCATCTATTTTAAATTCACTATATATATATATATATATATATATATATATATATATATACAGGATATTAAGTATCTGATTAAATGATAAGGATATAAGCACTACATCCTTTATCCTAATGCTCGACATAAAATGCTCGACAGTATTATTGATTTTAAAGTAGTTGAAGTTGCGACAAAATAAATACCGAAAATTCTGCCAATTTACGAAAAAAAGAAATTCGTTTTTTTTTTGTAGAGAGGGAATTTTCGATAATTTATAAATAGGTACATGAACTGCGTTTTTTCACATCCCCTTGTTGTAATAAATACTATTAAAGATATAAGGGTTCATACTCAAAGGGTCCTTGTTCCTGTAAGGTTGCAATATATTCCAAACTGTATATATATATATATGGTGTCACATGAACGGTATATTATATATATAATATATACGTATATTGGTCAAATAATGGATATAGTTACAAATAAGGGTAACAATATTTCACATGAGTGATTCTATCTTTCATGCGGCTAATATTTCAACATTTAAAAATGAATGTTATATATTCTTAAAGCCAAGTGTTTTTTCATATAATAAATTTTATTATTTTTAAATTATATTTTTAAATAGAATAAAATTCATTAAAAAAAATGTATATTATAAAATAATATAAAAGTGGGCCAGTTAAATTTCAAGAGACAGTTCGATAAAATTAATATAGGGGAGACCGAGGAGGAAAGTAACAAAAATCAGTTTTTTTATGCTAGCATTAAAAATATTTGTCGGATAAATTTGTCCAATATATTAAATGAAAGCTTGGACATTCACCTTTTAAATAAAATTTGAATTAAACATTTATAATAAATTGACAGTTCACAGTATAACTTTTACGCAAGCTCTTCATCTGTTACTTTCCTCCTGACCCCCGAGGAGGAAAGTAACAAGCTCCTAGGAGGAAAGTAACAGTATAAAATTATGTAAAATTCTTTAGACTAATGACTATTATTAATTAGAAATATTTTTATTAGGAACACATAAAAGTTTAAGTACACTTTATACTTATTTGGCACATATTTGGGACATATTTAGCACATATTTCGAACATTTTATGAATTTAGCTCATTTTTTTTCTTAAAGATATTTTATGCTTACCTAGATCACAGGTTTTTCTTAAATAAATCTCTGTCATTCGTAAAATTAAATACGATTTGCTTCAATCATTAGTTAAAACATGGACAATATCGACAACAGGAGAAAAGTAGCGTGTTACTTTCCTCCTCTGTCGCTTTTTTCTTGTATGTCAACAAAAAAGTTAAAACTACACAAATGTTAAATTGTTTGTTTAAGCACAACTTAAAGACAGATAATAAGGCTATAAAATAACGAAAGGCACATTTTGAAAAACAATAAAATTAAAGAAATACGAGACTTTGAAAATTTGAACGAAAACTTACTTTTGACGTTTTTTCTGCACGTCACACCGGAATCAGACCTAACCTTTCCTGTCAGGCTCGGACACACTATGGAGGAGGAAGGGGGAACAGTGCCGACTAAAAATATGTTTGAACCATGTCTATCCGATAATTTGTTTAAAAGTTATAAGCTTTGTTACTTTCCTCCTCTGTTACTTTCCTCCTCGGTCTCCCCTACATATATATATATATATATATATATATATATATAATAACAAACCTATATAACTGTACTTAATAATTCAATGCACGTTCACAATTATCTCTGTATACAGAATTTCTCTTCACGTATGCAATATTTCTCGTGGGAGATTTATATATATCAGAATCAGTAATAATCACGGTACATAATTTTCTCATGATAATACACGTAGAATTTTCATCATCCTTCTGCTATATCTACTTTAACTTGATAAAAAAATTTTCTAATATAAAATATAATAAATAATTAACAAAATAGTTCATTTAATTTAAAAAAAAAAAATACCTCGACAAAATTTACTTTTAAGGTTTTATAAAGTAAAAAAAATCTTTATGAAAATTATCTTTTAATAGAATTTTGATATACGCCGTTTATTATCACGATATTTAAAACTAAATTACACTAATTTTGGACAAAATTAATAATTTAAAGTTTTTTTTTTTTTTTCTGTTATTGAAATTGTGTAACTTAAATTGATGTAGGTGAAGAGGTGACCACCCATTATCCCATTGCGATTCCTGTCCTGTCGCCTAGCAACTTCCTGCAGAATTAATGACACAAGTGAACACGCTTCGTTCACTCTTGATTTGCATATTATCGAATCAACATGCGGTCAAAACTTCACACCCCCATACCCCAATATATATATATATTTGTTATAAGCGTTTATTTCGCGAATTCTTTTTAAGAGTTCTACAATTTTTATCTTCAAAAAATTTATCTTCTTTTACTTTTTTTATTCAACAAATTTTCAATTTTTTTTCATTCATAATAAAATTCTCAACACTGAAAAAAAATTTTTTTTTTTTTTTTTTTTTTATTATACTTTATAATTTATTATGATTCCAGGAAGAATACTTTATTTAAATTAATGGGTTACATCATTGATTTATCATTTCTTTTACTGTTGCTCTTTTGTGGGTAAAATAATTATTACTTCTTTCAATATTTCAAGGTAAAATCCTTGATTTTTTCCATTCTGAAGTTTATATCTTTGAATACGTATAATAATTGCTGTTAATTTTTTATATCCTTTTAGTATTTTCCCTACAATTATTGTATATACATTTTAAATTAATTACATATTTATCAAAAATTTGAAATTTAGAATTATGTACAAAAAAAAAATAAATACTTTTTTACTTTAATTATTTTTAATAAAATAAAATAATAATCACAAATAACTGTATTTAGGTGTAATCAAATTTAAAAAAAAAAAAAAAAAAAAAAAAAAAAAAAAAAAACTATTATTATAAAGAAAGAACATTTTTTTTGATTACATGAATGCTTTTATTTATTCAAAATTTTATCATTTCCTGAAAAAAATAGTTTTTTCTTCTCTGTGAAATTTTTTTCATTACTTAATTATTTAATTTTTGTGGCAAAAAAAAACATATTTAAAAACATAATAATTTTCTGATTTAAGACATATATTTGATTGCAATGAGTCAACAATAATGAAATTATATATATATATATATATATATATATATATATATATATATATATATTTAAGCATAGATTTTTCATACTAATATACACATTCTGTAGCACAACTGATAACACAATCTGTAAATTGCTTCCTTGATGTTGGACCTTGACCGAAATCTTACGTCCTCTATAATAATAATTCTTGTGAATTACACGACGAGACGAGGTTATTGTCCTTCGAGGTAAGCACATCTATTTTCTTAAAGTCGATAACGCTTATATAAAAAAAAAAAATTAATCATTCCTCTTCTCCAAATGTTGAAAAATTCAAATTTCCTTTAAAAATTATATTTTTTAATATATGAATTCATTAAATATATATATATTTATATATTTAAAATATTTTTATATAGTTTTATATATATTGTTCTTATTTTTTATATATATATATTAATTTATTGAAACTTACTTTTGAAAGAATTAAATTTATTTTCCAACTCGAGAAGTTATATCAGCCCAGAAAGTTGCATAATCTTTTAAGACGCTGCCACTGTAAAAAAAAAAAAATTGTAACCTATTAAAAATCCTATTCAAAAAAGGACAAACGTGTTCCAACATTGAAAAAAATTATATTAAGAATATCTTTATCTATTGCTAATAATTAGTAGAATTTTACTAATTCAGAAAGAAAAAAGTGAGTCACTAATATTGAAATTAGTAAACATTTGTATACTTAATTCAGATTTAGAGAGTTCTTATATAGTTAAAATAAAATTTTGAACTTTTCTAAATATTAATATCCAGTTTTCTCCATGTGTATTATATAAAAAGTAAACTGAAAACTAATTTTCTATATACTATTGAAATCACAAGAAATAAGGAGTGACGAAATGATTATTGCAAACTTACATGCTATAATTACGGTTGTATATATTTGAAATTAGAATTCTAATTTGTTTTCATGTATTAGTGGCATCAACCTGTATATACATATCAATTTTTCGTATAGGTATATAAGCTAGGTATCGAATGGCACTAACAGTTATAGTAAATTGGTTCAACGTCAATGAGGAAAGTTTCGTTCTCTGTGTTAAACGTTAACAGTAGCCCCGGTTTTTGTCGTTAGCCTCGACATTATCCAATCTACAACATGCACGCCTATGCATTTATATATATATATATATATATATATATTCCTGTATTCGAGCATTCATTGCCATTAGCGCCAAGTACCAACCCACATCTTAACCAATAAATCCAAACCGTTCAAAACTTTTTGCCTTTAAACTAAATTGGATCTTCGTCGGTATGGGGAGAGGAAAAAAAAGAAAATAATAATTCTCTTGGTACAAAAGAAAATTTTCTTTTTTAAAAAATTTCAATGACTTACCCAAGAACGTTTAACACACGTGCAATTGTAAAAAAAAAAAGAAAAAATACAAAAGGAAACAATTTTACTACTTCCTGAACAGTATTCTTGAATGGATATTGTTTTAATTGAAATTCAAAAGTCGCACAGGTTTATTTAACAGGACATTTATGACGTATGAATTTTATATAAAGAAAAACGTTAATTACACTTTAATTCTCCGACAAGACTATACATATTTATTATATATACGATACAAAGCCATATGAACTGCAAGTAACTCAAGGACACTTGTATAGTAAAAGTTTAGGCTACCATAAGTTTTACTTGAGCCTTTACTTTTTATTTATTATATCAAAGGTGAAAAAATTAACGTTATACTAACTTTACTAATGTTACTAACATTACTAATGTTACTGAAGTTAGTACTTATAAAAAAATTAAAGAGTTTCTAAAATATATTTTCACAGAAACTTTGACACTATTTTCCCATTACCACTTTCACTTCCACTTAAACTTTTTATAATTTTCATTTCCATTTCCACTTTTACTTTTTCTAATTCTCATTCGCACTTTCATTCTCACTTCTACTCTTTCTAATTCTCATTCCCACTTTACTTCCGCTTTTTCTAATTTTCATTCCCATTCCTATTTCCACTTCCAGTTTTTTATATTCATTGCCACTACCACTTTTTCTAATTCTCATTCCCACTTTCACATTTCACTTTCACTTTCTCACAATGGAAGTGCGAATGAGAATTAGAAAAAGTGGAAGTGGTAATGTAAATAAAAAAGTGAAAGTGAAAATGGGCATGAAAATTATAAAAAGTGGAAGTGAAAATGGGGATGAGAATTAGAAAAAGTGGAAACGGTAATGAAAATGAAAAAGTGGAAGTAATAATATAGGAATGAAAATTATAAAATGTGCGGGTAAGAACATTAAATACTTCCTGGTGGTCGATTTTCGACAAGTTTCTGCAAAAATACAATTTAGAAACATTTTCTTAATTTTTTTATACACACTAAAAAATAATACTTACTTTCAGTTTACTTTTGACTATAAAACCGTTAACATTAGAACAATTTTTACTGAATTTCAGCCTTTAGTGTATTATTTTAAGTCCTAAAATTGACTTAATCTAGTTTTAAGATAAAAATTACGATAGTTTTCAGGTATTTTGATTTTAAGATGTTAACAATTTCAGTATTTGTTTTTTGTGTGTACGTACTAACGTTAGTAACATTAGTAACGTTAGTAATATTAGTAACGTTAGTAATGTTAATTTTTCTACCTGAGAATTATGATTATTTTTTAGTTATTTTGAAAAATTACTTTATAAATGTAAATGAAATTTTATTTGTCTCTTTAAAAAAAAAGTTGAACAAATTATAGGGAGTAAAAAATTTATCAGCGTTGAAAGAAAATTGGGAAGAGAAACTTACAATTATTTTCATATAACGAAACTATATACTTATTTCCTTATCTACTGAACTCAGTTATTTGATTTCGTTCAAAAAGGGAAAAAAGAATCAAAAATGTTTGAGTGCATCTAGTATATAGAATGAAATTTATTGGCTTAATGGATATCTTTGTATATATATATATATATATATATATATATATATAGTAGAAGTATTGAGGAAACGAAGTACATATTGATGCTAACAAGTGCAAATTCCTTCTCCGACAAAGGAATGTAAGGAAAATATATATATTTCCTCAAAGAAATGAATAAATTCCCATGAGGGAAAATATTTGAGATTTTACTTTTCACTTTTTTTTTGCGCTAATAGAAAAACTCAAGAGAAAAAAGAATTCTAAAAAAAAGGATATAAATAAAAATTAAATAGGTAATAAAAGACACAAATGTGTGATATAAAAAAATATAATAGCAAACGATTTAATTTATAGCTGAATATATTAATATATATATATATTTTTTTATTTATAAAATATGAATAGAAAATGTCAAAAATTGGAATTTTTTTTTAAGATTGATATTAGACGTCGATATATTATAAGAATTACGAAATATAAGCGAGAAAATGAAATCTCCTTTAGAAAATCTATATTCAGTTTAATATATGTCAATAGGTCGACCCTTTCTAAACGTATCTCTTTCACGTGATAAAAATTTTAACTTTGAACTTTTAAAGAAAAAAAAGGCTGTTTGCACTATTCAACAATATTTTTAACATCTTTAAAAAAAAAAGTTTCAGTTTTTTCAATGAAAAGTATATCAAAAATTTGTTTTTAAATTACGAATATATATAATAAATATAATTATATATTTATGCAATAATATTTGGAGAAATAATGGAAATATTTAGACAAATATTGCTTCAATTTTATTGAGGGATGCAATATAAATTAAAATACAACAAGAATATTATAATAATATATACACACAGTTTTCCTGAGGATCTCAAATTGAGACCGTAAAGTTTATATGAAATTGTTGATAATGCAATGTTTTGATGCTGTTTATGGTCTCAATTTGAGAGCCTCAAAAAACTGTGTAATATAATAAAAGAAATAAAAATAAACTCTGAAAATTGAATTTTAATTTTTTTAACTTCATCTCAATACAAGGGAGGAAAATTACTATTTTACTCCCTAGGATGAAAAATGGCTAATTTATACAAAGAAAAATAAAATGAATTTTTTTTATTCTATATGAGAGCGAAAAAATGACAAAAAAAAAAAATTCAAATCATTTAATAATAATTTAAAAAATGAGATAATAAAGACAATGAAATTTAGTGTAAACAGAAAAAGAGAAAAAGGTATAGAGGTATAGAGTGAATATAGAATTTTTATATTATACAACTCACGTGAAGTAAACGTGACCTCTTGCATTTAAGGGTGCGTTCCATGTAAGTGTGGCTTGCTGCTTGTCACGTGGATCAGCATGGGTTATAGCACTGCATTCAGAATGTGGCACAGTGTTTTCTGTTTTTCCCCAATTGCCAATCCATTCGTTTGTATTGACATCACGTGCTTGCAAGAAAAATCCCTTAAAAGTATCGCCAACAATTTTCACTAAAATGTATAAACAACAACAAAAAAGAAAAAACATTTAAAATATAACAAATAAAATTTTTTTTTTACAAAAAAAAGAAGGCTAATGTCACGTCGGTTTACGGCGTGATAATAGACATTTGGCTAAACTCACGTCGGTTTACGGCGTGATAATAAACATTTGGCTAAACTCACGACTTTTAGCGACGTGAAAATAGATTCAAACATAACCTCAAAATTCAAGAACATAGGTCAAGGAACCATTTGGGTTTGACGCTATGTCCAATAAACATAACTTGAAAATTAAAATAAAAAGGGCAAAATGGCGTCACATTAAAATATTCTGTTTTATATATATATATATAGTTTTTGCGTTAAATGTTTGGACATTTTTAATTACTGAATAAGTTTCCTAATTAAAAAATAGATTCTGTTATTCAAAAAAAAAATTGGCTAGTTTTAGTTTTTACATTTTATATTTGAAAAAAAAACAAGATAGAGTTAAGATAGTAAAAAAAAAAAAATAAAATAAAAAAATTAATAATACTATAATTAATAAGAAAATGAGATGCACTTTGATAATAATTATACAAGCAATATGTATGTATTTTCGCGTGACCAGAATCGAGTAAATTATATAAAAGAACGTGTGTTGGTGTGTAACGTGCGCCCGTGTAAAATGAGGTCTGCAAAGCGATGCGTGTAATTCTCACAGTAGTGAAGAATGACTATGTTCAGCCAATCAATGTAATGTTACACCATATCCACCATCCTTCTATATGTTGAATATATATATATATATATATATATATATATATATATATGTATAGTGATTTTGAAGCTGAGAGAGAAAGAGATAGAACAATGCACTTTGATCGTAGACCTTCAAATAGTCTTCTACCTCTCAATTTCAATTTTAATTATATTAATTTCCGAGTATCAATATCTAATATACAATATATAGATTTCAAATGTACATCGTTTATGCCATATATATGTCTGACCAAAGCCATCTCTTTCTACTTCATACAAGTCCAATACATGTATTTGAAAATTACGCTTTTTAATCTCTTTATATTGAAAATGCAATATTTTAGAATGCATTGTTACTTTTTATTCTAATTTTGAGGTTATGTTTACTGATTTTAACCTCAAACACAAAAATTGGCATAATTTTGAGGTTATTTTCGTCTATTTTTTTAATCTCAAACCTAGCGTCCTTTGTTAGTATTTTGACCCTTTGCCTTAATATATTGAGGTTATGTTTTAACCTCAAATCTAGCGGTCCTTCTCAGGAACAAAATATTTAAAAAAAAAAAAAACCTAACCACAAAATTAAGTGGCAATACCTTATAATTCAAGGTCAACTTTTAAGAAGATATATAGGTCAAGAGGACAGTGAGTTTGAGGTTAAAATCGGCTAACATAACCTCAAAATTAGATATAATTTTTGTTTCCAAAAGAAAAAATAAATATGAAATTTGATAAATATTTGACAGTACCAGTTTTTATATATATATATATATATATATATATATAACTATAAGGAGACAAGGTCGTTGTCAAATAAGAGCCCGCGGGCAAAAATAAAAAGTTTCAGAGGTTAAACTGTCGCGTGCTAAAATTGATCATCACTCTAACTCATTACCGACATACAATTTATCTTCCACGCTCCTTTCCCTTCTGTTCATATATATATATGGACTGAAAGCCATCATTACAATGCATTTGTTCATGAAACACACAAATTTTCTATATTTATGTTCATTAGCGTGATTTATAAAATCGATACTCGAATTGCTTCTAGCATTAACTTTTACCTATATTGTTATACATATATATCAATTTAAAACTCCCCGGACAATAATTTATTTTTTTTTATCCATTTTTTAAAAATTTCACGTTAATTGGGTCTGATTTAAATATATATAATAAGCAAATCAAATCTTTATAATAATCTGCAGAACATTATTTTTTGATGATATAAAGAAAACATTTCTTTGAATCAAAAAAGTATTTTTTTAATTCAAAGAATTATTTCTTTGATTCAAAGAAACATTTTTCTGGATGAAGAGAAGTATTTCCTTGAATTAAAGAAATACTTCTTTGAATTAAAAAAATACTTCTTTGATTCAAATAAGTAATTCTTTAATTTAAAGAAGTATTTCTTTAATTTAAAGAAGTATTTCTTTGATTCAAAGAAACATTTTTCTGAATGAAGAGTAATAGAAAAAAAAGATAAATTCATAAATGAAAAAAAACACAGTTCATACAATTAATGTACCTATACATAATATATAAAGAAATTTCTTAGAAAAAAAAAAATAATGAATAACATTGTTTCATGAAAAAAAAATGCATGTTGAATCTCGATTTTTAGGTCAAGTTTGATCACTCAATCTATGTTTTATATATGTGTATAATTATATTATTAAATATAATTTCTTTTATATTTTTTATAATAAATATATATTATTTTTCATATACGAATTAGAATTCTCATGGAAAAATAATAGACGTTCTAATTTAATAATTTATTACATATAATCACTTTTTTTTTTAATGTGTTTTTCTCTCCTTTTTTTTCTTCACTTTTATTACATCGAAAGAATTATATAAGTTATTGGTATATATATATATTTGAATATTGAAATCAGTTTTGCCGCTCAAAAATGATGTGTAAATGTATGATAATTTATATAAAATTGATGAATAAATTTCGTATGGAAATAATGAATTATTCGTAGACAAAATTTCAATTTCATAATTCGATTTTTGAGATAAAGATTAATTTATATTATCTTGATTTTTTGGAACATGAAAGATAATGATTATTCAAAATTTAAATACATATGTATGCAATTTGAATATAAATAAACATCGAGAAAAAAATAATTAAAGATTTCTTTGATTCAAAGAAATCAATTTCTTTAACAACTTTTTTTCTGATACAAAGAAAATTTATTTGTTTCAAACAAATTCCCTCACAACCGAAGGATATCCTGAGGATATCCTCAGGATATCGTAAACTAATGTTACGTAGGATATTCCAGGGATATCTTAGTGATATCGTGGGGATATTCTTGGGATAAACTTGGTATATCGTTAAAATATTTTAGAAATATCGCTAAGATCTCCCTAGGATATCATTATGATTCAAATTTTGACTATTTGAGATAGCGATTTTTTGATACAAATAGTTAGCGCTTAAGTTGGTTTCAAAAGATTTTTTTTAAAGAAAAAGTAGAAAAAAGAATTCTTGTACACAAGGTAAATCATTTTAGATATCTTGGAAATACATTATAAATACATCCAAAAAATATGTTTTCCATTTTTATTTAATTAATTTGTATGTTAGGGTCGTTTTATGGATACCTTAGGGACATTTTTAGAACGACTCAAGGATATTTTAACCCTTAAGATAATATAAACATACTGTGGATATCATTAGGACGTCCTAAGGACATCCCTAATTATTCCAGGGATATCCTTGGGATATCCTTAGGACGTCTTGAGGATATCCTAATAATATCCGGGGAAATTATTAGGATATCCCTGGGACGTCCTAGGGACATCCTTAGATATCCCTGGGATATCCTAACCGCCGCTACTTTGGATATCCTTAAAGTATCCTTAGGATATCCCTAGGATATCCAAGGGATGTTTTTGGAATCTTCGTTTTAAAGAAATTTTTTTTATTTAATTCAAAGAAATTTTTCATTTACTCTATGAGGATTAGGATTTTTTTTTTTTAATTTAATGCACGCAAATTTCTTTCATTCAAAGAAATTTTCAAAACTAAGAAGGTTTTTTTTTTTTGTTACACAATAAATTTTTTTTTTTAAATCAAAAAAACTTTTTTAATGAGAGTCATGTTTTTTTTGTCGAAACCAAAATTTTGTTATATAGTATATATAAAGTGTCATGTATAGGGTACATACCCGTTATTTGGGCACCGGGTTGAAATTGTTCGGCAGAAGCAATAATAGCATAAGGGTTGGTTGCCAAAGGTTGTGGTTTAGCTTGACCATGATAAGGCTGATTGGGCCGTGGCTTCACACAGGCGTCTACTGGTGCTCCATCCGGAAATCCCTCAACAAACGTTAACGAGGCGACAATAGTCAACAGTAAAATTGCTAACTGTTTTCCACTAGCCATCTCTTTCTCTTTTAATTTTGATCCTTTACCTTTCTGTGTCAAAGCCAATTTTCATTATCTTTTATTTCTCAAAAATTATGATAAAAAATATTTTTAAATAATTAATATTAGACAAATAAAAGTATTTCTCAATTTTTCCAAAAGATTTGTATTAAAAAAAAAAAAAAAAATTCATTTGGCAAATACTTTGCAAAAAAAAATTTTTTTTTTCTAATGATAATAAATAAAATTTCCAAAAACAGAAAGAAAAAAAAATTATTTTATTGCGTGATCACTTGAAACAAAAAACAAAAAAAAATGTTTATTTTTACCCTTAACTGAATTCTGGAAACGTGTTCGTAACAGAACCACTTGAAAGAAACTGCAACGACTGTTTTTTCGCTTTGAATCAAAAGTGGTTGGAATCCCACCTTTGAATCGTAAATGTATAATTGTTACTTTCACTTGATCATTTCGCAGTTGTAATAACCGGATCGCGTATACCTTACCTTATATTTTTCTCAGTTTCTTTATATTTTCCTTTATCCATTTTTTATGTTGTTTTTTTCTTTTTTAAACAGAAATTTTCTGAAAAAGAAACTGGAGTTTTTTTTTTTTTTGTTGATTTTCAGTACTTCTGTATAAAAAAAATAAAATTTCTTATACTTTTCAAATGATTTTGAAAATAAATAATATTTTATTAAACTTATTAATTTTTTTTTAAACGAAACGAATTTTGAAAAAAATGCAAATTATTAAAACTTGTAATTATGACATAGTATAAAATTCATTTACTTTTACTTACTTGTTAATTTCTTTTATATACGCATATTTATAATAATAATTATCCTAATTCAGACAAAAAAAAAAGACAACATGTTTTCTTCAATTATCTTTTATTTAAACAAACAATTTAATTCTTCTTTTTTTTTAACTAAAATTTAATTATGTTCTAATCGAAAAATAGTTTAACAAAATAAACAATAATCCTGAGAAAAATTATAATAATTTAGATGTCAATATAAAAATAAACATTTTTCAAAAAGAAAAAAAAAACAAAAAATATTTTATTTTGAAAATGTTTTTTTCTAACATATCGAAGGAATATTTTTATATAATTTTTTTTTGGGGGAAATTTTTCTTGTATTTCAATGACATTTTTTTTATAAAAAAATATTTATAATACTCTACTATAATACTTTTTATGTAATGTCCCTAGTATTTAGGTTTAAATTTTTTTTTTTTAATAGTAAAACTTTTAACATTTTAGAGAAATATTTGTTTTGAAAAAAATTCTTCAATATTTTAATCAAATTGATTAGGAATATTTCAAAAATTTCATTGAAATATTTTTTAAGAATATTTCTATTATTTTTTTTTAAGGAATATTTCTATAGTAATTTAGTGGAATATTTCTAATATTTCAGTGAAATATTTCTTAGGAATATTTCTAGTATTTCAATGGAATATTTTTAATATTTCAGTAAAATATTTTTTTTAGCAATATTCCTAATATTTGAATGGAATATATTTTAAATATATTCCTAGTGTTTCAGTATAGAGAATATTTCTTAATATTTTAAGTATTAAACATTCCTTTGAAATTATTCACAACTTTTTTTTAAATTATATATATATATCCCATTGAAATATGAAATATTTCTACATTAATTTAATGACACGTTTATAAGTGAATGTAAATTAAAAAAAAATGTCTTATATTAGCAATTTTTTTTTTTATAAAATCTTACGTAACATATTTTTTTTTTTTTAGTAATGATCCTCTACTTTTGAAATTGTTATGAATCCTTTGAATGAATCCGTAAATGGTTGTATATACATTTCTTTAAGGGAATTCACTGAACTATTTGGAATACCCAAAAAAAGATGAAAACCTTCAGGTATTGATGTCTCCTCATGTGAATGTATTCTCCATTTTCTTGTATTTAATGTTGAATTTAATTTTTCAAGTTTATGTAAAACAATTTTTGGCTTTTCAAATGGTCCCGGAATCCAAAAGACGGCACGATAAAATTTTTCAAGATATTGGACATCAACCACTGATAGTTGAGCGTTTGTCCATGGTTTTAAATTTGGTATCACATCAATTAACCAATCCCTTGACCATTCGTCATCGCATTCAACAATAATTCCACCATGACGTATATAAGTATCCTTAAACATTGGATATGGTCCTCTCTTAATTTTTGTAATTTCCAATAAAATATCATTTGCAATTTTATTCTTTTGAATTCGTGTTATTCCATTTTTGCGAAAATCATCGGGTACAATAACTTTTATTAAATCATTATTTTGTGTAAATAATTCCTGATCGGTTAAACGTTTTCTTTTCATAGAAAGAAAACTATTTTTATTTGTTTTTAACATTTGTTCACGATCTTGTATTTCAATAAATGATTGCATTTCATTGGGAAATGTTACTGGTTGAATGTAACATTCAACATTTCCTGAAGTGGACGGTTGATGATAATTTGATGATGATGATGTTAAATAATTAAATTCTTGTGAATAATTCGAAAATTCTGGAATTTGAAATGTATTTGAAATATCATTGGCAAACAAATTATTGGAATAATTAATTAAATTTCGATTTTGTATATTTGAATCGAAATATTCATTATCAAAACGAAAAATTTTATTGTCAATGATTTTTTGACAATTTCTTGTTCCCAATCTACTTTTATCGAATGACATTTGCTTTTCGGGTAATTGACGAGAATTACAAATTATTTCATTATTAACGGTTGTAAAAAAATTTTCACAAAAATTTGATTCATATTCCTCAGTATTGGGATAAATTTGTGAATTATGGGAATATTGTTGATTGATTTGAATTGGCTCCAAATTTCTCAATTCTAATGAATTTGTCTCATGAATTCGTGATTTTTTCGATGGATTTATCAATAAATCATTTTGTTTTTTTCGTTTTGAATTTATTGGATTTTTCACGGAATTTGATGATTCAATTTCTAATGTCGATGGAGAATTTTTACTATTTTGTCCCTTATTAATTTTCGACAAACTTTCAATAAATTTTTGATATGTATTTCCTGAATTAAAATTAATTCTATTATTTCCTTGATTTACATTTTTTTTATTTACATTTTCTTGATTAACAATTTCTTGATTGGAAAAATTATCAAAATTTGAAATAATTCCTTGATTTGTCTTTAAACAAGATTCTCCATCATTTTCTGATACCAAAAGCAGATTTCTAAAGTTTTCAACCATTTTTAAATGTTTTTGACGTCCCCCCCTTTTTTTTTTCTTTTTTGATATTTTTATTCTTTCGAAATTTGTGTTTTTAATTTGAATTTTCTCTGAAACTTTATTATTATGATTATTAATATTAATATCCTTTGGAATTTTTGTTAAATCTTTAGAAGGTGATAATTCATCAATTATGGTAATTACTTCAAAATTTTTGGGAATTATTTCCGGTTCTATTATAATGCAATCATCGGAAATTTCATTATTATTTTTTAAAGAATCATCAATTTTATTATCATTTTTAGATAAATTTTCATATTTTTGACAATCTTCGGAAGAATTTTCTACTTTATCATGAACATTAGAAGAATCTTTAATATCATTATCTTGTTTAGAAGAATTTTCTTTATTTTGACAATTTTCGAATGAATTTTCTACTTTATCATGAACATTTGAAGAATCTTCAATATCATTATTTTGTTTAGAAAAATTTTCAATGTCATTAATTTCTTTTGAAGAATCTTCAATATCATTATTTTGTTTAGAAAAATTTTCAATGTCATTAATTTCTTTTGAAGAATTTTCAATATTATTATTACTATTTTCTGTAGAAGAATTTTTATCGTTATTAACATCTTTAGAAGAATCGTTTATTTCATCATGGACATCGGAAGAATCTTCAATTTTATTATTCTCGTTAGTAGAATTCTCAATTGTATTATTATTATTATTATTATTATTATTATTAATGTTAGAAGAATTTTCCATTTTATTGAAATTTTCAAAATTATCTTCAATTTCCTGCTCGTCTTGTAGAGAATCAAGAAATTTATTTTCATTTTTTGATGAATCTTGAATTTTATTATTTTCATTAGAAGAATCATCAAATTTATCATTATTTTCAAAATAATCTTTAGTTTTTTGACAATATTTACAAAAATTGTCTATTTTATTAGAGACAATAGAAGAATTTTCATATTTATTATCATTTTTAGAAGAATCACTTATTTTTTGACAATCCTCAAATGAATCTTTAATTTCATTCAAGTCCTTAGAAGAATCTATTTTTTCACAGTCCTCAGACGAGCTTTTAATTTCATTTAAATCCTTGGATGAATCTGTAATTTTTCTCGAATCTTCAGATGAATCTTTAAATTTATCCGGAATTGTTTCATTTTTTTCTGATGATGATATATTCAAAGACGTTTCTGCACTTTTTTCCTTTGACATTGTTTTAAAAATATGGTAGAAAACTTTTCTTTTCAAAATTTCACATCTGAAATGAAAAATACAAAATTTTTTTACTAAATGTTTCGTTAATTTTTTAAATTATTAATTGTTAGTAAAAATAAATTAATTTTTATTATTATAAAAATAAAATATGTCCATTTTTAATTAAAATCGATTGAATCTTTAATTTAATTACTTAATAATAAAATAAAAAATAACACACAAAGTTTGTAAACAAAACAGAACAAGGAAAAATAATTAATTTATGATTATATTAAACGATATTATAGATAGAAATGATAAAAATAAATTTTTAATTCGAAAGAAAATAATAAATTTATTATATTCTAATAATGTTATAATTCTATTTAATAGAAAGAAATTGTTAGAAACAAATTTTTTTAATAGTTAAAAATTCCAAAAAGATTATAATAATGAATTTATGAAATAAAAAAATTACTTGCCTGTTTATATTAGAAAAATGGAATTTTTTTTAAAAATAACTTTTTTCAATTCACACACAAATTTTCTTCGCGTTTTATTTATTTAATAAATAAATAAAAATACTTTATTCACAAGAATTAAACTTTTTCACTTGTTCCAAAGTAACAAACACGTGGTCATCAAATTTCTTCAAGAATATTGAGATTTTCTCATTTTGAGGTTAACTCAAAAAAAAAAAAAAATTGAACTCTTCTTCTAATTCAATAAATAAAAATCCTACTATTTACAATTTTTTGTTTAAATATAATTTACAATAAAATATTTTTTAAATTTTATAAAAATCAATTTAAAAAAAAAGTATTTACATTTTTTATTTTAAATTCTCAATCCTGTTCAGTAAACGGAAATGTCTATTTTACCTATTTCCGGTAATTGAAAAAAATTTTAAATTCTCCATTTATTTTCTTAAGGGGTATTAAAATTAAATTTCATATTATAATTTAATAAAATCAATTATTGTCAACAACAATAAAATTTCTATTAAATCAATTAAATAAAAATTCAATGATAAGAAGAAGAAAAAGACAAGAAAACCCTCAATTTACAGTAAATATTTGAAAATCTATTACACAAACAAATCATTATCCAGATTTCATAATTTTTTGTTCTTTTCTTTTTGTATTGTCAACGTTTTCTAGAACATTGAACTCTCGACTGATAAATTTATATGTATTATAAATATATACATATATATATATATATATATATATATATATATATTTATTTATCAGTGTAAATAAGATCACACGACAAAATATAGCTAATGACATATTATCTGAAAAATCAGGAAGTCATTATTGCAATAATTCCGTTGACGCCTTTTCATTATCTATATTAATTGATATATATGGAAGTAAACATGAAAAGTAAATTTAATTTTTATTTTGAACATCAATAAACGCAAAAGGTGTTAAACAAAAAAATAAAAATAAAATTTTTAAAAAATACAATAAACACGCTATGCGTGACTTTTTCGTTATGTTTTATATTATATCACAATATATTATATATATATATATATATATATTTTTATACGCGTGTGTAAATACGACTTTTCATACAATCATATTGATTTTCCTGGCCTTTTCAGTCTCGGACGTTTATGCAGCAAAATATTCCGAGCGGAATAACCCATTGCATATAATTCGTCAAAACTGAATATATTTTCCAATTTTTCCCATTTCTACACTTCTTTTCATTATAAAATTCCAAAAACAAATAAAAATGCTTTTAATTTATAAAAACTTTAAAAAAAAAATTGAAGAAACGTAAAATAAATCAAAATAATTAAAGTCTCAAAAAAAAGAAAGAAAAGAAAAAAAATTTCCTAAAATAATCATTGCCTAAAAAGAGAAAGAAAATGAAACATTAAATGTCCATTGGAAAATATTTATTTAAACACTTAAATATTTAATATTTGGCAATGGCGTATTTATATTTTGCTATAAAATGCCAATATAAATATATTTTCGTTTAGAATTTGAAATTCTAAAATTCAAAAAAAGAAAATAGAAAAAAAAGTTGAATTATTCTTTTGATGATAAAATACATCGACATTATAAATATGCAATTCCTCGAAGAGTTTCGTTTAGATATTAAAAAAAAAAAAAAAGAAAAAATGAAGAAAACTTCACGATAACTGTGCGCTTTCGTTTTACACAAAAGAAAAAAAATTATTCAATTTAATTGCATACAATTAAAATAGCAATTTTTTTTTTTTTTTACTTAAATCAGAAAATAAAAATTATTAAATAATCGTCAATAAAAATAATCAACGAAATTAGAATTAAAAAATGTTCAATTGATAAAAGAAAATCATCAGACATTTTAGAAATTAAAAATTAATTTAAAAATCGGGAAATAGATAAAGAAAAAAAAAAATTGAAATAAAAACCTTAGAAAAATTTGCAGTTGTTAATCCACCTTAAAATGGGAAATTTGTTCGTTTTGATTTTCGATGACTTCAATCGCGCACGGTCGAGGAAACCAGCCTCGAATGCGATTCAATTTATTGTCACCGGAACCCTCGTCTTCTCTCTCACCAAAAAGCCAATATCTGTACACAAAGAAAAATCAGAAAATTAGATTAAAAAAAAGAAAACAAATAAACATTATAAATTTATAATTTCAATGAATGAATTTATATCTATTAGAATTTCTCTTTAATTCAATATTTAATTAAAGAAAAAATTTCTATTAAACACAATATTTATTCAATAGAAATTTCTTCTATTTAATTAGATTTTTCTTTAATTGAATGAAATATTGTTAAATATTCAACAAAATATATTTACATAAAAGAATTTTTATTTGATATAATTTCCATAAAATTATTTTTTATTTTATTAATTAAACAAAATTTCTATTTTAATAAAACTTGTAAAAAAAGAAATAAAATTTTTTTGATGAATATTCTACGCCATTAGGGAAGATTAAAAATTATTTTATAAGAAAAAAATTAATACAAACTTGTGTCGTCTAGTGACGTTTACTACGTCACCAATTTTCAATTTAATTCGCGAATCATTGGTGAATGGTGGCGAACAAAATACTTTGAAACCATGACTTATAGGCAGCCATGATCCCGATGCTGGTGCAACAATTCGAAATTTTCGGGCATGTCGACGTTTTTCCATTTTTTGGGCCAATTGTTCCCGCTGAAATAATTGAAATTAATTTTTAAGATGGAAAAAAATAAATCAATTCTTTTTTGAATAATAAATAAATATAATACTTTTTTATGTAGAATAAAAAAAAAAGAATTTTTTTTTTTTAAATAGAAAATTAAAAAATTAACGAAATATTTACAGTTAGTGTATATTGATCACAGCCATCAATAACAGGCCAATGAATTCCATCACCTGACGGAATACAGTGATGAGAAATTACTTGCTTTATATTTTCCTTCATTCCAATGTCATAAGGATGAATAAATATTTCATTTGTTTTGTAACGACGATATTGCGCCTTTGTGAATATCCAGTCTTCAATTCCAGTTCTATTTCTTACAATAGCGACAATCTATGAATATTAAATGAATTGAATGTAAATTTAAAAAAATTAAAATAATTTATTAAAAAAAAAACAATTAAAATTAAATTAATAGAAATAAAAATTCATTAAATCCTAAAATCGGAAAGAAAATAAAGTTGGGAGTAAAAATAAAATTTTTAAATATCAGTTACATAATAGAAAAATTGAGCGAGACTTACTTGAAAATAAAGTAACATGCCAACAGCAATGACGACACCAATTGACAGACTTATGGTAAAAATTGCAAAAAAAAGAATAAATAACGATGGTGGTGGAAATTTCATGGTTCTTGGTGAAAAAATTGTCATTATCCATGAAATTAAAATAATTGTCGAAAGTAGAGAGCCACCAACGGCGCTTGCTAAAAATGCCGTGAAATATCCATGATTTAAATGTCCAACACAATTATTTATCCATGGACAATGATGGTCCATTTTCATAACACAGCGACCGCCTAAAAATTACATATGAAAAAATAATAAACATTTTTTTCAAAAAAAGAAAAATAATGATTATTTTGAAACGAATATTAAAAAAAAAATTTAATTTATAACATTAAAGAAAAAAAAAACAAAATTATTTGCCTACAACCGGTTTAATTAGATGAAAATTATAAAATACATTTATTAAATTCCTGAAAACAATAAAAATCGAGAATAAATTTCGAAATATTGTCCAATTAAAGGCATATAAAAATTGATTTGTCTACAAATTTTCAAATCCTATTTTTTTATCCAATATAATTGTATATTTATTCGAAAACTAAATTATTTATGTGAATTCAACGATTAAAAAAAAAAACTAGTTAACAAAAGTATATTGTATATTTAATTTTTTATATAACTTACAACTTCTGCAGTGATGAGATCTTGGTGCTTTATATCCTTGACAAATTGAGCAAAATTGAAGAAATTCACAATCAGATTCATTTTTCTGTAATTTTAATTAATTAAAAATAATTTAATTAAAATTCGACTAAATGAATATTAAAAATAATTATAATTAATAAATTGTTTATTAACCGGCATCCAATTCAAGGGTAAAAATCCTGGTCCCTCGTAAATGGAATATATAAAATGATAGAGTGTCGATCCACTGAGAGCAGAGAAAAGTAAAAAATTCATTGCACCCAAAAAACTTTCTTGCGGTAACATCAATTGTCTACTGCAATGTATTGTCATCAATGTAATTATTTTAATGAGAGCTGAAACATAAAGAAAATTTTTTATTTTATCATTTTTAAATTATATAATCCTTTACTTTTAATAATACCCTCAATAATTCACTATTAAGATTAAAAAAAAAAAAAAATTGCGTGTTACAAATTTACCCCAATCGATGGTAATTGTTATAATTATTATTATTATAATCTAAGATTATAATTTAAAGAATTGATACCTCCAGATAGAAAATTAAATGAGGAAACAATTTTTATAACAAATCTTTTTTTTTTACGCGGAGATAAAACAAATCTTATAATAAAAATATTCACTCATATGAAAAAAATGAATGTAAAATTTCTTTTTTTTTTAAATTCTATTTAAAGCCCGATCTCATTTACAAAAGATTAGTGTCTTTTCTTTAATATGATAACCAGAATAATGAAGGTATTCATCGTATCTATAATTATCAATTTGTTATATTTTTGGCATTATTCTATTTGAAAATAAATTTAAAAAAATATTTTTTAATGAATAACATTTCAAGTAGAAATCAATGAACAATTATGTAATAAATATGGTTTTGTCATTTTCTTCATATGAAAAATGCAACAACAAAAAAAAAAAAAAAAAAAATTAGAAAATGATTTTAAACAAACGAATGACTTTTAAACCAATCAGATGTGTAGAAATATGATTCTCAAGTGTCCTTTGTGAATTCAGTGGGAAAAAGAGTTTATCAAAAACAATGCGTTACACTCATGAAAGGCTCAGTTGCTTCTGTATCGTTTTAATAACAATATATACTTTTTTGATACACATCCTTATAAACCAATAGATATTTCTATTAATTTTTATTTTTTATTTTCTTCATTTTAATTTATTTCTTTTTATTTTACATAAAAAATATATATTTTTTTTAATTGTTAATTTCTTCTTTTTTTTATTATTAAAAGAATTATTAAATAAATCATTTAAAAAAAAATGAATTGTCTTCAAGTAACAGGCGTCGAAATTGTCGATGATTTTATAACTGATGAAGATATTATTAAAAAAATAACTAAAACACAAATGGACGAAGATTCATTTTTCGTTCTCGATGTCGGTGACTTAATAAGAAAACATAAAATGTGGTTAAAGGAATTTCCAAGAATAACACCACATTTTGGTAAGTAAATCGTGAAATAAAAAAAAATTGTCAAAGAAATTATAAAATATATAAATATAATATTAAAAAAAAAAAAAAAAATATTACAGATGTAAATTTCCCCTTTTTGATTCAGTATAAAATATTATGTAAATTATGATTTTATAATTTTTCCTCTACTCTGATTGATTAATAAATTTTCTCAACGTATGATATAATATTTTTTTTAGCCGTAAAAAGCAATTCGAATTCAATGGTTATTAAAACGATAGCCGCACTCAATGGAAATTTCGATTGCGCTTCGCTGGTGAGTTGAGAAAAAAAAATTGTTCGATATCAAAAAATTAATAATTATAACTTTATAAAATTAACAATAATTTAATTCTAAATAGAATAAAATAATTATTTAACTATAAACATTTAAAGAATCTAGAGTGAATCCAAGTTTTTTTTTCCTTCGCTTTTAATTAATTCTTTCTGTTTCCGAGTAACTTCATTTTGAATTGTATAATTAAATGTATGAATGCTTCAATACCAGATTGTTCAGTAAATTAAAAAAGCAAAAAAAAAGAATTCTATCTCGAACTTCGTTCACAATTTTTATTTCAAATGCATAAACTCTTTTTTTACACGTATTTCACAGACATATGAATAGCAATTAATTATTCGAACTATGAATTACTTATCATCAATTTTTTAAAAACGGAAATTTATTAGGTTTTATTAAAATTTTTATGGGAATAAAATTCAAATATTTCAATAAATTTTTTTTTGCGATTTGACGAAATGAAAAAAGTGTTAATTAAATGATTACTTAATGAAATATTTATTTTAATTAATATTAAATAATTATATTTTATTAAATTTATTATATTTCCTTTTAATTTTACTCAAACGTTTATTTATTTTATATTACTTTTTTTTATTTATTAGCAAGAAATAATGCAAGTTATGGAATGTGGAGTTACAGGAGATAGAATAATTTTTGCTCATCCAGTAAAATTTCCATCACACTTGAAATACGCCAAAAAAGTTGGTATTCAAAGAATGACAGTTGACAATCCGAATGAAATACATAAAATTAAAAGTATTTTTCCAGAAGCAAAGTGAGTAATTAATTTGTATTTCCCTTTTTTTTCATTAACATCGTAAACAGGATGTTTTCTTATTGTTCAATAAAAGGTATTAAAAAATAATTTTTATAATAAATAAAATAAATTTACATAAAATTTATTTGAAAAATAAATTTAAATTAAAAAATTAATAATATAAAATTTATATTATTTTATATATATGTAATATTTAAAATAGAATTGTGATTCGAATACGTTGTGATGCAAAAAAAGCGGAAATAAATTTGGGCAATAAATTTGGTTGTGATCCCGATCATGAGGCAAAGGAATTAATTAATTTGACAAAAAAACTGGGACTTCATTTGCATGGCTTTAGTTTTCACGTTGGTAGCCTTTGTAGAGAAATAACAGCTTATTGTCGAGGAATTAAGATCTGCAATAATTTAATCGATTATGCAAAATTAATTGGATGCAATGAAGTGTGTCTTATTGATATTGGCGGGGGATTCCCCGGAGAAACTGATGCAAATATACAAGAAGTGAGTACACTTCTTTTTTTTCTGAAAAAAAAAACCAATTCAAATTTTTATAAACATTATTTCTAATAGTAAAAAAAAAAATTATTCAATAGTTTGCAGAAGTAATAAATGAAGCTTTAAAAGATGTCGATTCATCAATAAAAATAATCAGTGAACCCGGAAGATATTATGTTACTTCAGCATTTAAATTAGTTGCACAAGTTCAAGGGAAAAAAAGATTTCACCATGGGAATGAAGAACGATTTTTTTACTATATTAATGAAGGTGTATTTGGATCATTTAAAGACGAAATGATGGGATTGGAAGCAAGAGTTCCAACTTCCTTAAGAAAAGTAAGTCAACGAGGAATTTTCAATGATGCAGGAAAATTTTACTAGTGAGCTTAACAAAATAAGCAAATTTCAAAAGATAAAACATTTTTATTTTAATTACTTTTTCCTTCTTCTATTTTTAGTTTTTCTCTTTTCTCTGTTTTAATTAAAAAAAAAAAAAAATTTTATAATAAACTTAAATTAAATTTTTTTTTGATAATTTTTAGACACAAAGCAATAAAAAATTTGTCAGCATAATGTGGGGACAAACAGCCGATGAAAAAGATTGCATTTTGAAAAATATTTCACTTCCAGAATTTGAAATTGGCGATTGGCTAATTTGGAAAAATATGGGAGCTTACACAATAAGTTTGGCTGCATCATCTCATGGTTTTAATTTATCAAGAGTTTATCCCATTACACGAAGAAGTGAATGGTGAGTTAATTATTCAATTTTTATTATTTTCTACTTTCTCAGAATAGAAATAAAAAAAAAAAAAAAAAAAAAAATTCACACCTATTCATAATTCTCTACAGGGAAATTGTGTGCGCCGAGGAAAATTTTACAAAAAATGTAACAATGACAAATAAAAAAAAATTAACTGACTCTTCGAAAAAGGTGACAAATGATATTGAGAATTTCAGGGAAATATTAAAAACAACAAATGTTCCCGCTCATGATGTTTGTTGTTAAGAGTATATATAAAAATAATAATAAAAATAAATGCAAAATAAAGATTTTGTGAAATTTTATAACATCAAATCGTATATATATATATATATATATATATATTAAAGAGCGTGAAAGATAAAAATAGAAAACAAAAAAAAAGAAAGAATAAACAATTTTCTCCAACGCAGAGAATATATTCTTTAATCAGTGATAAGGAGTGGAAATTCATTAATCATTTCTCAACAAAAGAAAAATCGTAAATAATAAACATGATATCACAATATAAGAATATTTCCATTGATTCAAGTGATTTGTATTGTGAAAACGAGGTGAGATCTTAATGAAATTAATAGTCACGTATATATATATATATATATATATATATATATATATATATATATAAAAGAGAAGTCTACTTAATATAATTATGCGTATAGTACAAAAAATATATTTAAATAAATTTCAAAAATAATTTTTTTTAAAATATAGATATAATTTTACATTAAGTTTGTAATTATACTAATTTTACAATTATATTTAATTAAATAATAGATTATTTAACAAATATAATGAATAATTTAATTCTGAACTTTTATTTCCTTCTTGCAATTTTTTTTTTTTTGAACAAATAATAAAATTATTTATTTTTAATCCTAATTAAAAAGTAATAAATTAAACACAAGTTATATATTTATATTATTCTTTTGAAATTAAAAATATGTTTTGAAAATTCATAATTTTTTTCTAAATTGAACATTTTTAAATTAATTAGCATCATTAGTTCATTAAATAAATTAAATTAAATTACTTGGAATAATTTAATTATATATTTAAATATAATATATAAACATAACATATAATTATAATATTTATAATTTTAATAGACCTTTTTATTTTAATATTCGAAATAATTGGATTTAAAAATAATTTAATTACCACATATTTGAATTTAATTAACAATGTAATTTAAATAAAACATTGAATTTACTAAATAATGAAATTTAAATGATAAATTGAATTAAAAATAATTTATTCAACGAATAATTGAAGCTATTTTTATTTGTAAGTAAAAAATTGATTTGCATTTATTTAAATTTAGCGCTATTATTCACAAAATTGCAAAGTATAAACAGTTACATAACCTTAAATTTAATGTTATTGAAAAACATCTCAAATTAATAATTTATATGTTAAATGTTTGAAATATGTGTGAGAAAGTCTAAAAGTAGATAAACAAAAAAGAAACACTATTCAATTATTATAATTATTTTAATTTTTCTCATACCTAATGCTGTAAGTGGACCCCAATGGAATACTTTTTTCATTGGACCGGTACACATCCTTCAATTATATTTGCAAATCTCTTTTATTTCAACATTACTTTTGTTAATTCAACTACTCTATGAAACTTTCATGTCAATTATTTAGAAAAATAAATTCAGTCACGTCATTTTTAATTCTTGATTTTTAATAATTTCTCTTCATTATAAAATTCTACTGAATCATAAATACACAACTTGACGTTTCATTTTTTGTTGTTGGTAGCATTGTTGATTTCAGGGTTGAGAATGCACATTTAAAAAAATATATAGTAGAACGTCCAAAATATGTCATTTTCATATTGTGTATCAACCTTATTGTTAAATGCGTTCCATGTTCCATGTTTTGATGTGATTCTTTTTTTTATATCAAAACAAATCTGTCATCCAAAAAAAAAATACGTTTCTAAATTTATTTATCTAGTCAGCGATAATAAAGAAGTAAATTAATTTTTTTAAAAAACGTTTAGCTTCTAAAAAGTTATTAATTAATTGTGGACATTAATTTACAGTTTCAACGCAAGGGATATGTATAATCCTGATTTACAAGTACTGTTATTTTTTAATTATATATATTTAAGAGTTTATATTAATATTACTTATTAAAAGTAATAATTGAAATTTTAAATATATTTTTCATTTTATTTTATTTATAAAAAATAAAAAAAAACTTAATTTTATTAATATATACAATAAATTTTGTATTTCGTGTTATTTATAGGTTAGATGTAGAGAAAAAAAATTTTTACCTTCAAAAACACCAAGAAGTAGAGCATCATTGCCAAGATTATCCGACGAAATGTCATATCAACGAAAGTTTCACTATAATCACGAATTTAATAATTCAGAATCATCAAACAGTAATTATAGTGATGAAAGTGATGACAGTGATAATAGTAACACTGACAATGTAAATTCACATTCTTCATCACTATCATCAAAAACACCCTCACCAAATCCTCAAAGAAACAAAAATTATTCTTCAACTATTAAAAAAAGAAGGAATTCCACAAAATCCAATCAAAGTTCAAATAGCACAAATAAAAATGAATTCACTTTAAGTTTAAATAATACATCAAAAAATAATGAATCAACTAATAGCAATTTATTCATTATAATAATATCTGTATTTATTATTATTGGATTATTTTTCATTTTTCCAGAAATGCAAAAAGTTTTTGCCATTAATAATAATAATAATAATAATAGTACGCCAGAAAGTAGAGAGAAAATTTTAAAAAATGTTGAAAATGAAATACGTGAATTGAAAAAAGAATTTCGTAATCAGGAGAAAAAAATTTGGCCCGAAATTTATTCGGGTATTATTGATGTTATTAATAATCCAACGAGGCCATCGATATTTGTCTTATTTGCTGATCGTAATGATTTAATGAGTTGTTTGGCATTGACAATCGGTGAACTTGGTAGAATGGCTTTTGGAACTGAAAAAAGTCTCACAGTTAAACCAACACAATTAAACAGTGACACTGGCGATGTTATTGATAAATTACGATTGGTTATTCCTCAACGAAAATCTGTAGTCAGTATATATTTTATTTTTTTTAAATTTAATTCCTTGAATTTTAAATGAAACAATTTTTATATGTAAATATTTTTGAAATATTTTCATTATTTACAGATCTTTTGGGATTTTTTGAGCATAAACGATAAAGCCTTAAAGGCTTTTCACTTTATTTGCGATAGGGAGAATCCTTTGGTTCAACAAGCCATTTATGTGATTACTGTGAAAGCCGAAGGTTATCATGAATCTGAAAATCCTTTACGATTTATAGAAAATAAATTGAGATCAAATTTAACTGGAAGAATTAAAGAGGACTCTCTAATGCCACTAATAACGAGAATCACTGATGGACCTATTATCTCCGTGAAACCAGAATTTAATATGCAATGTAAATTTAAAAATACTCTTGATTATTAATTGACAGTAGAAAAAATCACATCTCTATTTTTTTTTTCTCGTGTGTTAATTAAAAATTTATTCTGAATTTTAGTTATAATAATAATATTTTTCACTTTTTGTCGACACTGCAATCATATTATTATTCAAAACGTCGCATATTTGATTTTTTTTTCATTAACTTTTCAGATATTAGTTGTTTAATTGTATAAATTGTTTCTCTTCGTAATTATCCTAAAACCAAAATTTCTCAAGTTTAAAATTTGTTATTAGCTTTAAGAAAATTATATTTATTAAAATGTAAAGACTTTTTTTTTTAATTTTTTTTTTTAATGTGTACAAAAAAAGTGAGATATTTTGTCGTATATTGTTTCTTAATTGTTAATATTTATAAAACCTAATTTTCGATTAATTTACAACTTATGTGATAAAAAAAAATCGTACTTTTCTTTTAATAGCAAAAACTCAATTAGATTGCTTATGAATTATTAAAGATCTGAATTTCTTGTGATAAATAAACATAAATTAATTTTTCTAATTTTGAGTAATTTTAGACACCTTTAAATTTTATAAAATTTAGTAATTTTAACATAAATTATGTATTTTTAAACTTCTTTTCTATTTTTCCAGTTTATTAATTTTTTACTCAATTAATTTATTATTATTATTTTAATTATAATTTTCATTCATTTTACAATAATTAAAAAAAAAAAATAAGGAAGTGAAAAAAACGCCATTTTTTTTTTTATTTTTATTTTAAGAGACGAATTTACTTTCAATAAGGCATTACAAATAATATTTAACTTTTTGTTTTTATTATCGAAATCTAATATACTAATTGCACAGTCTAAATTAAAATTCTAATGCAATAAAATCAACTTTATTTCCTTCTTAACGAATGATTATACAGAGAGAATGCAATGCCTTTTATTTAATAATAAAATTGACGGAATTATAATTTCTCAACAAAAAAAAAAAAAAATTATATAATGTAAAATTAATCATACGCATAATTAAAGAAAAATTTAATTATTGAAAGAATAATGTTTGTTATTCAAAGTTGACGCATGTAATTTAAATACTGTGTAATTAGCTTTTTGACCTATTGTCAAATTTCGATAAATAGATGATAAAATGAAAAAAAAGTAAACTCAAAAATTTCGAGGCATACACAAAAAAAAATATAATTAAAATAATTCAAAATTGAAAAAAAAATCAAAATAATTTCACGATTCTTTTTTTTATGGTTTCTTTTTTCTTTTCTGTTTCAAATAATATTGATAGAAAGTATAACATGAAATTTAACGTTTCATCGAACAAATTATAAATATATAATATAATTGCGTTGTGTAACTGTCGGCAGTCCTCGTAATGTTACAAATACCGTCTTCAATCACAAAAAAAAAAAAAAAAATTAAAAAAAAAGGAAAAAAAATTTTATAGAAAAAAAAAATCGCCTCGTTGCCATTTAACAAAATAACTTTGTACAAGAAAATTATTACCTAGGTATATATTTCTCTAAATTAAAAAAAAACCACTGCATTGGATATTTGATTATTTATCCAATAACACGATAACAAACATCATTTTTTTTTCTTTCTAATATCGAAAGACCAATACAAAAAAAATAACATTAACAATTATATAATATATATAGTGATTAATGCGCGTCTTTCGACTATAAACAAATTCTGACATTGTCAATTGACAACGAGGCATCTACTCAAATTAATCCTATATAATGAAGAAAAAAAAAATTCGGCATTCATGAATTATCTCACGAAAAATTGTATTTTTCAATTGATTTTTACGTTCTTTTTAATTTAATGTAGATGTAAATTCAATTTTATCGAAATTAATTAAATATCGATATAAATAAAATTTATCTAAAAATTTTCCCTCTCCCTCTATTTAAAAAATTGGATCAATTGAAAATTGTTACAAGAAAAATTTGAATTTCGGAGATAAATTCAGTCATCCTAAAAAAAAAAATTTTCTTTTTAGAAAACGGCAAAAATTTTCCCATAGTACAAAGAAAAAAAAAATCTTATTTCTTTTTAGCAAAGCAAACAGATGAGTGATTCTCTAATAATAATACAATAATTTTTGTTAAGCTCCGTCGAAATAAAAGTCGGTAACTAAATGTAGGTTGTTTTCTATGTATAGTGCTCGTATTAATATAGTAATAGTATCGTCGAACCTAAATAATAAATACATTTTATACAGTCATAAAGTCATTCATACAGAATGTCCAAACTTGCCATTTTTTTTTTTTTTTTTAAAAAAAACGTTCCCCGATTTGTGAAAATACAAATTAGTAACGATTTTGTTTCTTAAGTTTTTGTTTTCAATTTTTTTTTTACTATGAAAAAAAGAATTTAATTTATTTATAAAATATGAAATATTAAAAAGAAAAATTCTTTCTTATTGACAAATATTCTTATAAATTAAAAATTAATTTCTTTGATCTATTTAATTGTAAGGGCATTCTGTATAGAAGGACTTTCTCCTTTCAAAAAATTACGAGATATTTACAGTAAAAAAGTTTAATTGGTCATGTTTTCATTTCTTTTTTTTTCCTACTTAATGTAAGAGTTGAGTACCGCGTTGCGTATTTCTTGTCCAGTGATTGGCTACGTAGTCGCGTACTTCAGTCAATCAGTGTCTTGCAACAAAAAAAAGTCCTGCAAGTTCTCTGTTTTCATTTTCTTTTTTTTCGTTTTTTTTTCTTTTATTTATTCCGTAATTCACAGTCAGTCTAAACGTCAAACTTGATTGTGTTTCTGCCTCAGTATCTTTTATTATTATTATTATTATTATTATTTTATTAATCAATCGCAATCATTTATTTTTCAATTCAATGACGATACAAGAGATGAAATTCAATTTTTTTTTTTCAAAATTAATTTCAATTATTATTTAAATTTGATAAATATTTTTATGAATTTTAATAAAAAATATTTTATTTTCAATATTAAATTTCATTTACGTTTTAAATTTAATAGAAAAAATTGTTAATTGTAATTTTTTTCTTGAGAAATAAAAATAGTTTTTTTTTGTATAAAATAAATTATTTAAAGGGAGAATTTTTTTTAAAAAGAAATATTTCTTTTCAATAAAAAAAGTGTATTGAATAAATCGTAAATCTTGTTTTGAAAATTAAATTTCCAAGTATCGTCATTGTGACTTACATTTTCCCAAGTGTGTGTGTGTGTATGTGTATTTTTTTAGTACCTAACAGATTCTACTTAAACCTAAAGTTTATTTAGTTTTTTTTTTTTTTTTTTTTTGTTTTACTGAAACCTTGGTTTTTTTAAACACCTAGTTGGTTTAACCAAAAATTAAAAGAAAAAAAAAACAAATTACAATTGTAGAGTGTTTAGAGGTTTCAGTAAATTTGAGAGATAAAGGAAAAATTTTTGAATGACAATGACTCGAAAAATGAAAAATTTTAAATTGACTAAACAAAAGAAAAAAAATGTTAATTGCTCTCTCGATTGTATTATTTTTTTCTCTTTTTTTGGAAGGAATTACGCGAGTCGCCTGAATATATTTTTTTTTTTTTTGTTTGTTTTTTGATTCACCAAGTAGTGAATAAATTGTGGGATATATTGACACTTTTTCTTGTTTTGTTTGTTTCATATCAGAAAAATTGATAGTATAGTTTAAAATTGGAAGCCTTGCATTGGTATTTGAGAAGAGTCGGGTGATGTAAATTGAAATTGTTGTGATTGCGCATCAACAGATGGAGCAATTCTTGTGTCTTCTTCCTCCGATCCAAAGTAACGTTCAATAATATCAAAAGCCTTTTGATAAATATCCAAATTTTGATGTGATTGAAGAAATTCTATCTTGTCTAGGCCTGCAGAAAAAAAATCAATTTTCCATTCGTCTTTTAAATTATACTTCTTTTCAAAATTTATTTCCAAAAAAAAAAAAATAGTTACCATAACATTCTTCAATAAGAACTGCATATGGATTTACACCATTGTGTAAAGTTGCATCTTGTTCTCCAAGTCGGAGAATATTTTCCAATCCATTGAGTGCAACTTGCACAATTTTTGGATCCATAACTGTCAATAAATCGCACAATGGCGAAATGCAACCTTGCTCTGCTAAATAGCGAATTTGTTCAGGTGTTCCGCCACTCGTTGCATTTGTTATTGCCCATGCTGCTTCTTTTCGTGTTTTAAATTCAGCTTTTCCTAAAATGTCTATTAAAACCGGAAAGATGTTTGCCTCGATGACAGCCTGTAAAGAAAACAAAAAAAAATAGGGGAAAAAAAAGAAGTTAATTTTTATGTAACGAAATACATTTTAAAAAATCGATTCAAATTAGACGAACTTGAATTTGTTGAGGATTGCCGGCAGTAATATTGGAAACAGTCCAGCAAGCTTCTTTGCGAACACTCTCGCGATTTGATCCCAATAAATGAAGTAAACATTGAAGCGCTGAACAATTCAGTACCACTTGGGTTTGAACATCGTCACCCGTTACAATATTACCAACGGCTCTTAACGCTGCACTAATTACATTGTTTTGTTCATGCCTTTAATGAGCAAAAAAAAATTAATTAATTTAGGTACTAAATTAAAAATTTTTAATTATTTCTCGAGAATTTGAACTTACATTAATAGTTCAACGAGACGTCTACAGACACCAGCGTCAATAGCGGCTTGAATTTTTTCATTGGGCCCATCGCTCAAATAGGAAAGTGCCCAACAAGTGTCAGAAAGAACGTCACAATCATCGTGATTGAGAAGATGAGCCAATACAGGTAAACATGGTGCAACTTGGGAAAATGTTGGCGCTGGATTTTTACCACGACAAAGATTTGAAAGTGCCCAAACTGCATTGCGTGTCATTGAAATACGTGTTGTTTTCGAAAGAATTCTAAAAAAAAGCAAAACAAAATATTAAATATTTGTCATTATTCTCAAATAATTAAAATTATATATTATTTTAACAAGTGATAAATTATTATATTAAAAAAAGTAAATAAATTACTGTAAAAGAGGCATAAGAATGCCATTATTTAAAACATGATCTCTGCATTCAGGACTGTCACCGGCGATATTTCCTAAAGCCCAAACCGCTTGTTCTTGAACATCTGGATATTCCAATGAGCCGAGCAATGATATAAACATAGGTACAGCACCAGCTTCAATAACAATACGTGTTTGTTGAGATGTTCCACTTGCGATATTAGTTAAAGCCCATGCTGCTTCAAACTATAATTTATGTAAAAATTAAAAATTCTTTTCTAATTCAATATTCAATAATTGAAAATTATTTACCTGTAACGTATTGTTGTCATTATTTCTAAGAAATTCGACAAATCGCGGAACAATTCCTGTTTGAATAACTTCATCTATTGGTGGATTTGGCTCTCGTGATAAAAGCTTTCTAAATTTTTGCGTCGCTGCTAATTGCTGTTCAACATTGACACTATATAAATCCTGAACCATTTCTGGTGTTATTACTGGTTGCTGTTGGAAAATTATTTTCTATTATTACAGATACATCTTTAATTAGAAATTTTTACAAATCTATTTTTTGCTAGCGATTTACCTGTAAAGTTGTAGTAACTGTGGGATATTCATCTGTAGTGGAAGAAACATTATCATCATCAGTGACAATATTGGGCACATTTCTTCGCTTTGACAATTGTTGTTCTCGTTTTTGTTTTCGTAATTGCACACCTTCCTCTTCACGTCGTCTCCTCAATTCCTGAGAATCGAGACCTACATTTTTGTAACGATATTTGTGAGTCGGCCCAGTCGACATCTATAAATTAATTTTTTTCATTATGAAAATAATAATTATAGCTGTTAAAATTATTTTAACTTCGCAATTTATATTGCAACACAAAAAAAATCTAATAAACAATGTTCACAAAATTGTTATCTAAAAATAAAATATAACTAAAAATAAAAGGAGAATAAAAATGAATCATCAATATTATTCGGCTATATACAGTGATAAGAACTGTTTATTTAGGAAAATATATAATCTCTATAAACGTCATTTCTAAAAATGACAATCTAAATAATAAAAAAAATTATAAATTAAATAGATGTTTAAAAAATTATTTTCAATGTAATCGTCAAATGTATATATATACATGTGTATAAGTGATATATGGAAACAATATAAAATGGATGCCTCCCATATACGCGATTTAAATGTTTTTTGACAATGGAGTAAATGTCGTAAGGGTTAGGTGCTGACACAAGTGGGTGTAATCGATTAAAATTGATTAAAATCTGGCAAAATTTTTAAAGAAATTTTCTTTTCATATAATACTTACGATAAATTAATTTTGTAATTCTAATACCTTAAAAATCAATTAATCTCTGATAATTATGCGAATGAAAATTGTAACATTGGTATATTAGTATGAAAATTGGAACTCCCTGGAACACGATGTTGTAACCTTCGGTGTGTCACTCGCGTTTCCAAATCGACATCAAGTTTTTTTTTTTTTTTTTTTTTCTTTCGTTTCGCTACTACTTACTGTTCTATATATGTGTGTGTTTGGCTTGAAGCGATGATCACTCGTTAATTATCATAAAGAGAATTAATGAAACTGACACACTTTACTATCCCCGTAAATCACGAACGGGTGGTCGGGAATAAAATTATATGTGCGCGAAATTGCAAAACTTCCAACACCAAAAGGAAATCACGAATTCTTTCTTTTTGATTCCCGAAATTAATAATCGTTCTAAAATACACTGATTTTTTACCTCTGTCAAATTAGAAACACGATTAGAACGGAAATACCAATCATAAAGCGAGGAAATTCAATAATTGTCACATGGACTATTTTCATTGGCTGTGAAATTCTTTTCCGGGAAATTCAAAACATTCATCTCTTTAATGATAAAAACAAAAGAGAGATTTTTAATAAAAAAAGATAAAATTTCTCTTTTTGGTTTATTGATATTTTGAGTTATTATTATTTTTTTATTGTTAAATTTAAATAGAGACAAAATTTGACGATTGATTTGAAATATTTTGCGCCAAATGGAATCGACCAATCATTGCGCGCACCTTAATAGAAGGATGGAAATGGATGTATTTTGGAACACAAGCCAAAGTAGGGGCCCCGTTCGACCAATCAAAGTTTGTTATTAATTCAAAAGAAAGACGTTTGTATGTTGACTCCTCACGAAGGATTTAGAAACCGTCCTGTGCATTTGTTATAAGATGTTTAAGTGATATATTTACAATTATATTCATGTATAGAACAAGTAAAATAGTGAATCAACATATCTGCAAACGTTATAAATATTCGAATTGTTGTTAGTTAAACTTTTCAGTGACAAGAAACAAGACAAAATGACTGATTTTACAAATGGGTAAGTGTGCGTTGCTTTTTCAACGTATTCCATGTATAGTGCTTGGCCTTTTTTTTTTTGTATACATAATCGGATATATTTCCACTTGATTTCAATTCTTATTATCTCATAATAAAAATATTTCCAAAGAAATTCATTGAATATCATGTTTTTTGGTCAATGATTCCAAATAATTGAGATAAATTTCAGAAATATTTCTTTTTTAACATGTAATTTTTTCCGGATTCTGATCAAACAAATCATTCTGTCGATTTTCTTGAGCATTATTTGGTTGAAGTTTTTAATGTATTCAGTTTGTTTAGGGACATTAAAAACTTAGAATACCTGAATTTTATCTTGTATTGTTTTTCTAACCTTAAAATCGTCTATTTGAAACTTGCGAATAAAATTTTCAATAATTATTTATTTATTTATTTTATTATCAATTTCTTGTGTAATGTGAATAGAAAATTGAATTAATTTTTCAATTTTCATTATTTTAGAAATATACATTTCGTCATATATTTTTTTTTTTGAAAAAAAAGAACAAATTTTATGTGCTTGATTTTTTGAAATAATTTTTATTGCATATTTATAGTATTTCATTTAATGTTTTTTAAAGATAATTTCAGTAATTTTAATAGTTGATAGTTAAAATTAAATTAGATATATATTCTTAAAAGTTATTTCACTTATAGAGATGATACATTACAATCAATGGCAGTGGAAAATATTTCCAGTACGATTAAAACAGATTTGAATCGATTGTACAATATATGGAAAGATATTGGTCTTAATGATGAAACTAGGACTTTATACTGTCAAGAAGTTCACAAACACATTAAAGTATGTTTATTTCAATTTTTATAATTTTTCTTTCTTCTTTTTTTATGTATTACACAATATTCGTTATTATAAAATGATATATTTTTTTTTAAAATGAAATTTTACAGGAATTGATGAGTGAAATGATTTTTGAATTGGAAGAGAAAAAGAATTCTCTTCTACAAGGAGTGCAAAATTTAATGGAATTAGCAAATACACTTGCTAAGGTTTGTTCATTTTAAACATACAATAATGTTAAATTTTTATTTATTTTTAAATAAGAATTTTTTTCATACATTTTTTTTATTTGCTTCATTTTTAAAATTTATTATTGACTATTATTTTGTTAAAGGAATTACAAATGGATGATATTCCTGGCACAAATCCAGATTATGAACACTTGCCTCTTATTGAAATTCAGGAAAAATTGAGAACACAAGTTCATGAATTGCAAAGAATGAAAGATAGTCGTCTCGAATATTTAAAGGAACTTCGATTGCGGGTAAAATATCAAATATTTTATTTCAGAAATTTTTTTTTAATTGAACATTTTTGAAAATTTTATATGTAAATAAATTTATTATTAATTATTTTCAATATTATTTATTTTATTATAATTACAATTGTAAATGAGAAAGTTAGTGATTTTTTTTGTTTTATCTTTAAATATTTGTCAATTCCTCAGGAGGAAGTTGTTTGTAAAAAACTTGGCACAAAACCCATTGGCTTGAGCAAAGAAATGCCTTCTGAGGAAGATCTCAAGCAATTCGACGATTACTTGGAAATTCAGGAACGTGAAAAGGTAAAGTTTCTTTTGTATGTTCTTCATTTATAAAAAATATATATATATATTATTGATACGTTGAAAAAAACTAAAAATTAAAATAAAATTTTTAAATTCACGAAATTACAGATTCGTTTGGATGCATTATTTAAAGATTTGCGTAGAGCCATTATGAAATTAATGGATGAATTACAAATTTCACCTTCCTTGGATTTTGAGAGAATTGTTTGTAATGATTATGAAAATTTTATATACACTGTTGAAAATATGACAAAATTAAAAGAAGTGAGAAATGACTTAAAGGCTCAGGTGGAAGATGCAAAACAGCAAATTATTGAGAAAAAAAATGAGCTCCAAGCTCTTTGGAATTATCTTGATGAACCTGATGAATATCGTGAATCTTTCCTTTTAAAATATCCAGGTCATACAGTCACAACTATTTCTGCAGTGAGTTTTATTTTTGTTGTGTGATCCTCAATTTTGAAATATTGAGTATATATTTATTGAAAAAAAAATGAATAATTTTTTTTTGTTTTTAAGTTATTTATATTTGACTTATTAAAAAAATATTAAATTATTTCAGTTTAATGCAGAAATAAAACGTTGCAAAGATAAAAGATGTGAAAATATTGGAAAATATATATTAAAAGTGAGAGAGGAACTGGAAGTATTGTGGGATTTGTGCCAATTCAGTGAATCTCAAAGATGTTTTTTGCCATTTTATTCGCAAACTTACACTGAAGATTTGCTCACACTCCATGAATTAGAGGCAGAAAAACTGCGTAAATTTTACAAATCAAATAAGTATGGTCTATTTATAATTTCTAAATAATTTTCACATAATTTTTTTTTATTGTTTTTCATAAAATAATTAATATTATATTATCATTTATTGCAAAATTTATTAAAAAATTTTGTCTATTTATAATTTTATTCATAAAATTTTTTAAATTAAATTACAGAAAGATATTCGATCTTCTCGAGGAACGAGAAAATCTTTGGGAGAAAATGAAGGAGCTTGATCAAAGAGCAAACGATCCCGACCGTTTTCATAACCGAGGTGGCCAATTATTAGCTGAGGAAAAAGAGAGAAAAAATACAACAAAGGTTTGTGTGGCTTTATAAAAGTTTTATTATTATTTTTTTTTTTTCTTCAAAATTTAAATTTTCTTTGAATTATTAAAATAATATTATTTGTTTTTAAACAGAAATTACCGAAAATTGAAGAGCAATTGCTTCAAGCAACAAAAGAATATGAACTCGAATGTGGAAAAATGTTTAAAATTAAAGGTGTTTCCGTTAATGAATATTTGGATCAAAGTAAAGCAGATTACGAGAAGGAGAAAGAAAATGTGAAAATAGCTCGTGTAGGTAACAGAAGGAATATATAAATATGTAAAGTTTTTTTTTCGGAATAAAAGTTGTTTTTTTTTTTTTTTTGTTTTAGTTTTTAAAATAAAATAAAATTTAAGAAACAATATAAAAAATATGACATTTTTTTCTCACGTTTAGAAACAGGCAAAAGATAAATCGGCAAACAAATCGGGCAAAAAAACGCCTCTTAGCACATCGAAACGAACGCCAATTGGAATGAGTATTCATGTGAGAACGCCAACTGTAACGGGGGCGAAAAGAAAATTGCCATACGACTCATCTCCTAACAGTACCACACTCTCAAAAAAACGCAATATGAGCGGTGAAAAAAATCGAACTGCTGTGATATCAACCAAGGCGAGACGCAGTGGGAGAGTAAGTTTTTATTTTCTATATTATATATTATATTAAAATAATTTTTTTTTTTAATTAAAAAAAATGATTAATTAATTTAATTATTTATTAAAATTATTCTATTATAGATATCGAAAAAAAATTTATTGAGTATTAATAAAACTAATACGCCAAAATCGGGTAAAAAACAAAAACTAAAAGCTGATGGTTGTAATAAAGCGAATCTCAGTATTTCTTCATATGGAAAATTTCAAGAACACTTGGAACAAAGAGAAGAATTACGAAGTTCCATATTGTCAGAACAATTATTGGAACATGCATTTGATCGTGGTACTAATATAAAAACACCAGTACGAACACCAGCTAGACCGTTGCGTAAAAATTTACTCTCAGTAAATAATGCACAATTAACACCAAGATCTGTGGCATCAACATCCCGAACATTAACACCACGAACACCACGAGTTATGCACACACCGCGTTTAGCAACTGTGCCCAATAATAAACATTGTATTTTTTAAAATATCACCTTTTTTTTAAAGTTTCTAACATTACACAATTTTTAACATCATTTAAACGAATATAAATATAATTAGAAAAACAGCATAATTAAATAAAGGCTCTCTTTTATTTGTTGTGATCGCGAGCTAATAAAAAAAAAATGCAAGTGCAACATCATTTTAGTTTCATATTTTAATATTGTTTTTATTTTTTAAACGGAAATTAAAGTCAGTAAAAAATTTTTCTTTTTTTTTTTTTTTTTCTTTGGTTAATACTCATTAAAGGTGTATATTTTTCTAAAATTTAGATAACAATTTTATTTCGATGGTATAATACTGTGAATGTGAATGCGTTTATTAATATTCTTATTTTTTTAAAACATATTCAGTTATGGAAATGAAATTTATAATTTTTTGTAAAAGTTTGTCGGCTTGATGTCGAATGCGAAATGCATTTATTAGGTATTTTTATTTGTACTTACTTAACAATATTAATAGTTATATTATTTTATTTTATTTTTGCTTTATTAATACGTTTTCATTGGCAATAATTATTTAGATAATAAAAGATCAATTTTCAATTGATTATTTATTTGATAAACTTCTAGGAGAACGTGTTGTTGTTGTTTTTTTTTTTTTTTTTTAAATATTATACTTATTATTTACCTGTAAGGAAATACAATCGAGAAAAACTTGTCAACACTTATAGAATATTAAAAGAAGCATATTTTATTCAAAATTAATTTAAAGAAAGAACATTTTTGTTTAGTTAAGTAGGTACATGAATAATTTTTGAAAAATCTTAATTATGTTTATTTGAATATTCTCGTATTATAATAATAAGTAATCATTTATTTATCCATTATATATATTCTTAAGATATTTTTCACAATAATAATGAAATTCTGATATTTTAGAAATTTATAATGTAACATAGTTTTAATAAAAATATTATTTAATAGTTAAAACTGCTTATAATTCAAATAATAATAATGAAAAAAATAATCCTGAAATTATTCATACAATTTTTTATAAGATCTCCTATCTTTTAAATAGAATTATAGTAATAATTGTAATTATTATTTTAAATTTATTTAATGTAATTTAAAAAATAATTAAATTATATAATGATTGTGTGTTTAATTTTTAATTTGGTATTTATATACAATTATTTTAATTTATGTTCAAAGTAAATGTTTTGTAAGATGTCATAATAATAATTATTATTAGTAGTAGTAAATAATGTTAAAATTTAATTGATTAAATTAGTTTTAAGTTTACAACATTTAAAGGAAAATAAAAGAACTTTTTTGTTTTAATATTTTTGAATTTTCGCGGTTAACCCAGATTTTGATTTTCCGTAGTACCAATATTAGAAACAAATATCAATTTAATGTGCAGTGGATTTTAATTTAATTTAATTTGAATATAATATTAAAAACATTTATTATTTTTTAAATAACGTTAAATTTAATTTACAATTTTCACAATATATTAAAAGAGTAATAAGAGAGACACGGAAAGAGAGAGATTTTGTTTTTCGCGGCTAATCGCCATTTTGATTGCAGGTGTACCAATATTCTAAAACTAAAATATTAACTTTTTCAAATGGATTATAATGATGGTGGGGGGAGGCTAACAAAGAAATTGAATGTAACGGTCGAACAGAAGTATATATTTTTTGCACACACCGTAATTAATATTCAGTTAGTTTAATTTGTTATAATTATCAGAAATAATTAATCTCATAGGTAAACATTATCAGTGTCTTGTTTAGTGAAGTGACATCTATAATTATTTTCAATAGTAGAAAACTGAAAATGTGCTGCAACAAAAGTTAGGTTAGAATTATAAAAGTGCCGGTGTGTATCCACCTCATACATCTCATCTAATTCAGGTAATATAAATTCTTATTTTATATAATTTAATCGAAGTAATTAATTGAATACATTTATATAATTGATTTGATTATACGCAAAAATAATTTCAATAATTTGTCAATTATTATAATTGATTTTATATTTTTGCAAAAATCAAGACGCGTTGAATCAAACTTTATTTTTTCTGTCTTTCGAATTATAATGATTTATTATTAATAAAAATTCTTATTTATTCCAAACCTTTAAAATATTATATCGAATTTCTTCATTAATTATAATAAAAAATACTTTATACAATTTGTTAAATTATTACGAGGAAGTTTAAAAAAAAAATTCCGTATTTCTGGACTTAAAAATTTTTTTTAATTTCCGAAATTTGAAGAACAATTTAATTTTTCTTGTAACAAGTATACATGAGTAAACAAAAGAGAGGATATCGTTTTGTTTTGTACTAACAATAAAATAATGTTCTCTTTAAACATATAAATTAAATAATTATAAATTGAATAAATATAGGCTTTATAATTAGATTATTGTATTAAATTTAAAAATATATTATTTTTAAATGGAATTTTATAATTAAAATTTTTTTTTTAATTTAATTTTTTAGAGAATCACAAATATATATATATATATATATATATTGGAAAGACGGCAATTGATTGGACGTTGGTTAAAATTGAGGAACTCATTCAGCAGGTGGATTGGATCCACCTATAGCCCCTGCAGGTGAGTTATTGTTGAACGTAGACGAATGATCAATAGAAGGTGTGGCTTTAGTTGGTTTCATATTATACTGACTCCACCCACGCTTTAATGGCATTTTTTTACCTTCAGAGAAATAAAAATAATTCTACTTACGTTATCACAGATAATATAATAATGATAAACGAACAGGTCACCTTATCAATGCATGACGTTATCAATATATACATATATATATTTATTTATTTGTATTTTATTACTAAAAAAATTAATTTATCATATTCTATAGTTAAATCATTGTTTTTATTTTTTTTTAAAATTATTTTTATTGATTCTTTTACAAAAATCAATCAATAAATATATTTGGTTGCTCTATTATGTTAAAAAATCAAAAATAAATTTTCTTTTAATAAAATAAGAAGTATTGAAGGTAGACAACTAAATTTATACAATTTGAATATGTTTAGAATTCTAATAAAAGTATTTAAAAAAAAAAATACTACACTGAAAAAAAAAATTTTATTTTATTCAAATACTCGATTACTTGACTATTATCAAATAAATATTTACTTGAACGAAATAATTTTTATTTTGAATTAAATAAATTTTATTTGAACCAATAATTTCTTTATTTGAAACAAATATACTCAAATATATAATAATTATTTGATAAAAATAAATATTTATTTGATAATAGTCCAAGTAATCGAGTATATTTGAATCAAATAAAAAAAAATTTTTTTTTTCATTGTAGCAATGATAAAATAATAGAAAATTATATGAAAGAAGTTCAAATTGAATTTTTTTTTTTTTTATTGAAAAATTATTTTTATTGAGCGTGTAAAAATTAATTTTTTTTTAAAGCCGTAAATTTATTTGTATCTACAAAAGTTTACTTGGGATGTTACTCACATCCTCTCTAAGAATTTAACTTTAGAGGCTCTTGGGTCTTAATTGCTTTAGTGTTGATAAGCGCGTTACGCCGTCAGTGAAATGGGGCGGAGTGTAAGGGGAAAGAATAAGTGGCTGAAGCGGTGTAAGAGAGTATAAAGGTCGATATAGGCATGAAAAAAAAAACCGTGAGAGAGACCATCTCTTTGCATTTCAGGTCTCATTTAGTTTATACTAACATAACTGTGCGTCTGTTTAGGAATAAAATAAACATAAAACTATATACTTTAATATCGCAGTATAGGTCATTTGTTTGTTAATAAATTTTTATTTTTATAAAAATAAATGTTGTCCTTCTAGGAAATGATATTCTAATTTTTTTTCTCTCAATTTTTAACTGCCAGCAAGTTAAATACACTGAAAAAAAAATTTATTTGATTCAAATATACTTGATTACTTGACTATTATCAAATAAATATGTATTTACTTGAACAAAATAATTTTTGGAATTAAATATTTGAACCAATAATTTCTCTATATTTGATACAAATATACCAAATAATAATTATTTGATAGAAATAAATATTTATTTGATAATAAAGTAACTGATTATTTGAATGAAATAAATATTATTTTCTACACGGACAAAATTATTTACCTGAAATAGCGAAAGGTTTCACTAGAATAGCGAAAGATTTAATTGAAACAAGTAAAACTTTATAGTGAAACGTTTCGGTATTCTAGGTAAATTTTTTTTTCCGTGTAGTACACGGAAAATAAGAAAAAGTGGTTTTTACTATTCTCTAAATCTGAATTAGTAAAAAATTTTACTAATTTGAATTAGTGACTCTCTTTTTGCTTCGCAATTAGTAAAATTTAACTAATTCTAAAGCAAAAAGTGAGTCACTAATTTAAATTAGTAAACATTTTTACCAATTCAGATTTAGAAAGTTAATTTGAATTAGTAGTTTTCTATTAATGAAAGAGTGCGGATTCGTTTACCAATTGAATTAGTAACAGTTTTTACTCTTTTTTTAGTAAAAAACTACTAATTGCTATAGTAGAAAACTACTATAATTCATGGAGTAAATCGTATTTTTACTATTTTAAATTAGTAAGCCGATTTACTCCATGAATTACTAAAAAAATTAGTAAAAATTCTTACTAATGTGAATTAGTAGCTCACTTTTCATTAATTCAAATTTAGAAAGATAATGACTCACTTTTTGCTTCTCAATTAGTAAAATTTTACTAATAATTAGTATTTTTAACTAAAAATTAGTAAAATTTAACTAATTCTAAAGCAAAAAGTGAGTCATTAATTTAAATTAGTAAACATTTTTACTAATTCAGATTTACAGAGTACATTCAAAGTAAAATGGAAACTGTCCGTAGTTTCTGCACATCTCTGGCAACTTTTACTCCAAAAATAGTAAAATTGACTATTTCGGTAGTAAATTTTACTGTTTCCATAATAATTCTTACTATTTCTGAATTATATTTTACTATTTTTGGAGTAAAAGTTGCCAGAGATGCGCAAAAACTTCGGACAGTTCTCGTTTTACTCCGAAAGTAGTAAAAATTATTTTTTCTTTTTTTTTCGTGTAAATAATTTTGCTGTCCTTTCTGACTTACACTCTCTAAATCTGAATTAGTCGTTTTCTACTAATAAAAGAGTGCGGATTCGTTTACCAATTGAATTAGTAACAGTTTTTACTCTTTTTTTTAGTAGAAAACTACTAATTGCTAGTAGAAAACGACTAATTCAGATTTAGAGAGTGTAAGTCAGAAAGGACAGCAAAATTATTTACACGGAAAAAAAGAAAAAATAATTTTTACTACTTTCGGAGTAAAACGAGAACTGTCCGAAGTTTTTGCGCATCTCTGGCAACTTTTACCTCAAAAATAGTAAAATATACTCCAGAAATAGTAAGAATTATTATGGAAACAGTAAAATTTACTATACAGAAATAGTCAATTTTACTATTTTTTGGAGTAAAAGTTGCCAGAGATGCGCAGAAACTTTGGACAGTTTCCATTTTACTTTGAAAGTACTCTGTAAATCTGAATTAGTAAAAATGTTTACTAATTTAAATTAGTGACTCACTTTTTGCATTAGAATTAGTTAAATTTTACTAATTTTTAGTAAAAATTACTAATAATTAGTAAAATTTAA